TTATTAGGATGTTGCGGGGTCTGTCCCAACATCCATCTCAATATGTTAGAGGCTTCATAGACAGTCAGTCAGTTAGTATTGAGTTTCTCATCTATGTATATATGTAAATATTCTATTTTGAGACTCGAGTTGCCCTTTTGGGCCAGATTTCATCAGTTAAGTTGTTTTATGTCTTTGCATGACATTAAGTTATTCTGTTGAGTTAGGTTTCCGCTGAGTTAAGAAAGCCGGGCCAAGGGTTCGCTTGGGGCCAGCGATGGTCTCCGAGTGCCGGTCCCGCCCAGGGTGTAGGCTCGGGGCGTGACACATATAGAGCACAATTACTAAAACTATAAATATAGAGCCTTATTATATCTATTATCTTTGTTATTTCTGAAAATTTCTCAATTTTTAATATGTCTAACAAAATTATATGAAAAAAATACATAATAATTACTATTATAACATTCATTATACATATGATTAGTGATGCTTCAAATTATAATCTAACATCAAAAAATGAGAAGATTTGCATAACAAATGTGGCAAATAGTGACGTTGTTTCAATAATTCTAAATAAAAATCTAACAAAAAATATTAAAATAGTAATCTTTTTTCACAAATAAATAAATACGAAAAAATTGAAATAACAAATTTGGAAACTAAAGAACAATTACAACCTAAAAAATTATACTTTTTTTAATACAAATTAAATATACTTTTAGCCCATTGACAGTTCTAGTAAAAAGTCAATTATGAACTTATGATTTAGATTTTTGTAATGCTTGATTGAGAAATTGCCTAAAAAGGTCTCTTATGTTTGAGGGGTATTTTATCAACTTGTGTACTTAGATTTTGTAATGTTTAACTGGGAAAATGACTAAGTGAAAGTCTTACATTTGAAAACAAGTTTATGGTACTTCAATTATGCATTTTAGTTACATTACTTAATTAACCACACTATGTGGCTTAAATATATCTCGAGTCGATATATACGTCTGGATTTCGATAGAAATACTAATATTGAAAAGGGAAAAGGGTTAAAAATGCCCCTAACGTATTACAAATGGTTTAAAAATGCCCTTCTTCCACCTATTGGATCAAATTTGCCCTTAACGTTTTTTTTAGGTTTAAAAATGCGCTCTTTTGACAGAATTATGACATGGCATTAGTGGGTCAAATAATTAAACAATTGGCATTAATTTATTGATCCATATGAATTTTTAACCCACTCACATAAGTCATAACCGACCCGTCCATAGTGAACCAAGCTAGCAAACCCCAAAACAGTCTATCCCGTCAATTCCTATTTTACACCTCCATTTTCAGATTTGTTCCCAATATCTCTGTATGCTAAAAAAGAAGAAGGTTTCTTTGGGTTTTGATCTTAGAATGTGATGATGGTAAGAAGGGAATATATGACTTAATAAGATGTGTTCTTAAGCTTTGAAAATAACTTTGATAAGAGGAAGACTGAAACTTCAATTTTTATACTTGGCATTTTAAGGTTAATTTACTAGAAGTATATTGGTTGTAATTTATAATGAATATAAATGGGTCTCATCAAAGGTCAAATAAGTTCATGAACGATTGAAGAGGAACTTTCACAGTAGTATCAGTATGAGCTGATATGGTATATGAATCTATCCTCTATTTATACCATTGATTTTTTTTCATAAGATTGATTCATTGGTTCGACGTATTTGGCCTTATTACCATTGAATTTTACTTCAATGATTTTGTGAGATATGTTTTAGAGTCCAATAAAAGGATCTATCCAAAGGATTGTAGATTTATACTGAAAATTTCAGTATGAGCAACAGATTTGAAAATAGGCGTAAAATGATAATGAATTGATGGGTTAGATTGTTTTGGGGTTTGCTAGCTTGGTTCATTATGGACGGGTCGGTTATGACCTATGTGGGTGGGTTAAAAATTCATGTGGACCAATAAATTAATGCCACTTGTTTAATTATTTGACCCACTAATGCCATGTCATAATTCTGTCAAAAGAGGGCATTTTTAAACCTAAAAAAAACGTTAAGGGCAATTTTGATCCAATAGATGGAAGGAGGGCATTTTAAAACTATTTTCAATACGTTAAGGGAGTTTTTAACCCTTTTCCCTATTGAAAATAAACTTTGAGAGATTTGCTTTGATCCTTTAAATTTGTCGCAAATTAACAAAAATGGTCTCTTATATTTGAGAAAAGGTTCAAAATAATTACTTCAAATTAATAATTTTGATCCTTCAAATTTATCATAAATTAACAAAAAATATATTCGAAGATACAAAATAGTACTTCTCCGGCCACAAAAATCTCATGGAATATGACATACCAATATAAAAAAAAAACCCCTTTTTTTGTGTCTAATTAAATTAGGTCGCAGAGATCGCATTTTAAGCTTTGTTTGTAATTGGTAAAATCATTTAGCTTTTTGGTTTTTTTTCACACCTACTTAAATCAACAAGATAACAACAATATCATACCCAGGGTAATCCCTTAAGTGGGGTTTGAAGAGGGTAGAATGTATGTAAATCTTACTTCTACCTTTGTGGGATAGAAATATTGTTTTCGATGGATCTCAGCTCAAAAAAAGTGACGATCAAAGCAGCATAATAGTGTAAAAAGGTATCATGCAATTGGACAAAGCAAATGTTTTAATTTCTTATTGCAGACTGGAATATTACATGGTAAAAATCCAATATCATTCTCCCTTCTTTTCTCCTGTTAAGGGAGAAATAAAAATCTCTGAAATAATTGGACTTAACAATGTCTACTAATTTAGTCTTCATTATCATATCTTCTTGCTCTCTAGCCACCGGGCGTAGAACGCCAACGCCTCTTGTGGTTTGTACTCAGGCACGGTGTGTCCAGATCCCTGAAGATTTCGTAAATCAATCAATTAAATCAAAGGGAAAAAAAATATAATATGAAAAATATTTCTTTGATATGAATATACCTTAATAGTCAGAAAACTGAGGTTGTTTGCATAACCTTGTGTGTAACTGCACAAAAGATTTCAGCATTTAAAATGAATTGCAACACATTATAGAAGTTAAAAAAACATGAAGAGGATTTAGAAGGTGAAACGCGAACATACCCTGCAACTTGTTCGTTCACATACCAAGGCCTCCATTTATCCACGATTGGATATCCAAGTGAACTTGTCCATTTTTCTGAACCAGTGTGTGGTACACACATATCGTGATCCCCACTGCAACAAACAAATATGTGTCTTAGTCAATGTCTATTCGTGTTTTACACGAGTAATACAGGAGGATGGAAAAATGAATAGAAAGAAGTTGAGATCACTCAGTAATCTAGTGGTACCTGTATATGAGTGCTCGATATCCATGAGCTGTGAGGTTTTTGTGATACGGAATCATGCTTCCAGCATCGTGACTGAAAGTTATGCTGTCCGTGCATAGCTCCCAGGGACCTATAACCGTTGTCTGTTGGACCATAGGATTGAACCATAAATCACCAACTTTATTTTTTTGTTTTGGTTTTTGCACTTATATCTTAAAGTTAGTACAAGATGAGAAAATTATATCTTACTTGTTCAGCATGAATTGCTTTACGAACATCTTCATTGTTTAGCCACACACTAGAAACACGATCGTCCTGCATATTTCATTTCAGATTATGTGTCTGTTAAAGAGAACAAACAAAAAATGAAGAGCGAGTGACTTACAGTGCAAGGGACGGTTAACTCATTGAGAAGCTCCGGCCAAGTTGGGACAAGTCCGTCTCTTACTGGAGCTTTAAAAGGCCAAGCACGGCCAAACATTCTCTTTCTGATAGGAAGAGGCCTTTCTGTCTCACCTAGTTTACGAAAGCTCATTGGCAATCTTGAGTTATCATTGGTGATTGCACTAGGTTCGGTGTTGTGGTAACATGGTTCTAGAACGTCATACACGTTTAGATCATTAACTTCCTGCAATAGGCGAAAAAGGTGCATTTGGACCAATAAACCAGAACAATGAATTGCTTATTGTTCATGTCGCCACAAAATGAATCAAGTATCACAGAATAACACCTAACCTGATCAATTTCATTAAGCTTGTCTTTACAATTCTGACTCCCTGGTTCATAGAAATTTCCATGGCACGCGACAGTGACTTCCTGAGAATGAAAAGGAATAATCAGGGACCAGTTGCTATTATATTGGAGTGGTAAATGTATAAACATAGCTTATTTAGTAACATCTTTTTTTGTGGATTTTTGAATTCTAAAAAAGTTCAGAAGTCAAATGATTCAAGCACAAGAAGAACCAAATACCTCGAATAATTTATCTGAAATGAGGCCCATACCATGTTGAAATGGAACAAGAGCATTACCGTCTATTTTCTCATCTGTCACGCCATTTCCCACCATGTAACCCTGTGCAATAGAACATAAAGATCAGTTTACAGCCCAGACAACTGGTTAACGCGTGAAAATCTTGAAACGTATATACCTTGAAGTTGATTGCAGGCTTTACTCCAGCATCAATACCTATAAAACATAAGCCGCAGAAGGTTAGTTTGTTTATCCCCTGCCTAGCACCAACCAATACATGTTCATTTAAGATCCAGATTACCTTTTGCTACTTCAGAAGCCAGAGTTGGCACATATATTCCAGCATAAGACTCTCCAGTTATGTAAAATGGATTCATGAGGAACTCCGGGTAGATCTCAAACCACTATCAAAAGCATCATTTAGCAGAACAACAAATGAGTCAGGACATAACTAGCGTAAAACTAGTAAATTTATATAGTTTTACCTTGAGGAGAAACGAATGGGTATCTGATGCAGTCTTTAAATCTCCTGTCTCATAGTCGGATTTATTTTTCGAGTAAGATAATCCAACACCAACAGGAGAGTCCAGATATATTATATTGGAAACCTGGAAGAATCAAATCATAATGAGTGGCTAATGAAATGTAAGTATATGCTAAAAGTACAATTAACACAAATAATAACCTTAGACCAACTGTATGGATTGTTATGCAGAATAGGCAAGCTACCATTTGTCTTTCCCAACTCAAAATTGAAAGGTCCTGCAATGTATAGAACAAAAGAATGAGCTGTTACATGAACTGTTAACATTAATCCGCCCAAATTCAGCCCAACGCGTAAGTAGAATCAGAGTTGTTACCATGCTCATAGACAAAGCCATCAAAGCTTGAACAGCCAGGTCCACCATTAAGCCAAAGAACAACTGGATCCTTGGATGGGTTTTTTTCAGATTCAACAAAGTAGTAATACATATTCTTGCCATGACTTTCATCTATATTAACATACCTGAAAACCCATTTCAAGATATATTAAAAAAAAAGGTACAAAAATCAAGATAAAGTTTATATCTTTTTATCAAAAAAACACAGAAAAATAAAAAATACAAACCCAGCATAATGTTTTGACTGAAATTTGCCAGTGAAGCCAGGGAGTTGAGTTACCAGTGCACTCTGAGGTGCTCCTTCTGTTAACAAAAACAAAAATACCAAGAATGTTAAAACTATATAACACTGTAAAAAATTGATTTTTATTGCCATGTTTGGTGTATCAAGATTCTTAAGAGAAGAATTCTTTGATGGGGTTTTTATAGTTTCAGAAAATGAAGTGAAACATCATTATAATAACTACTCAATCAATTTTTGCTTTTAAGTCAAGATTAATTTACTCTAGTTTTTAATATACAGTTAAAAGTCAAATTATAGAGGAAATTGGTTATTATCTAATACTTATATTGTTTAATGTTCTTTAATATCTGATGAGTTTGTATTTTATCAACTTATGATCTTAGATCTTTGTAATGTTTGACTGATAAAATTACAAAAAAAAAGTCTCTTATATTCAAGAGAGGGGTAAAATAGTCCATTGAATATATAAACTTAACAGTTTTTGTCAAATTTATGATTTGAAGTTTACGAACGTGAGATACAACCGAATCTATTGATCTATGAATTACCGGATTTCAAATTTAAAATTCATACATATTTAGTAGATTTCTTTAACACGTAGAAATTGATATGAACATGCTTTAACAGTCAGAAGATAAATTGGATAAACAGAGAAATTATCATTTCTTATTGGATAAATATATATATTCAAATACATGGTAAAAATCCAATATTCTTCTCCCTTGTTTTCTCTTTTATAAAATTCTCCTGTTAAGAGTACTCACAAGGAAAAAGAAAAAAATCTCTTTTGAATCTCAGAAATAATTGGACTTGATGTCTACTAATTCAGTCTTCATATCATCATATGTTCTTGCCCTCTAGCCAGCGGGAATAGAATGCCAACGCCTCTCGTGGTTTGTACTCAGGCACAGTGTGTCCAGATCCCTGAATATATCGGAAATCAATGATAGAATCAAAGAGAAAAAATAGAAAAATGAATTTTTTTTCTTAATATGAACATACCTTAATAGTTATAAAAATGAGGTTGTTGTCATAACCTTGTATGTAACTGCAGAAAAGATTTAACCATTTAAAATGGATTTTACAGAGTTGCAATACATTAGAGAAGTTAAACATGAACATGATTTAGAAGGTGAAAACACGAACATACCCTGCAACTTGTTCATTCACATACCAAGACCTCCATTTATCCACGATTGGATATCCAAGTGATCTTGTCCATTTTTCTGAACCAGTGAATGGTACACACATATCGTGATCCCCACTGCAACAAACAAAAAGATTAACATAATCGTTCTGGTTATAGCATAAAAAAAGATCTCGGATAATTTGTGTGTGATCAGGTACATGCTCACTATCAACATTTACCTTAGGCAGCCTACTACATGAGATTAGTGGAAGAACATGTTATAGTAATGGTTTAAATTGTTGGAAATCTTACGGAAAATACCTTTTTACATAAAAAGTTAGTTTCATAGGGAAAACATCGAATCAACATTCAAAGTAGTATATAGAAAATCATGTCAAACATTTTAAGACGTCACCAAAATGGAAAGAGTGTCATATAAGATGGGACATAGGAGTAACTGCTACAGATCTACTAGTAGCACATATGTAGTCACTCGTCTTAGTTTCATAGGGAAAACATCGAATCAACATTCAAAGTAGTATATAGAAAATCATGTCAAACATTTTAAGACGTCACCAAAATGGAAAGAGTGTCATATAAGATGGGACATAGGAGTAACTGCTACAGATCTACTAGTAGCGCATATGTAGACACTCGTCTCTTTTTTGAGGACTAGTGTACCATGCTAATCATTGACAAGTCAAAACATTTACACAACGCATTTAAATTGGAGCATGAGAAACCATAGATGAGGTCAGATTTGTATCAGTTGTATCGTTGTTTTCACATCTCCACAGTATGTAATATCAACCTGCTATCTGGTAAGAGATAGTTGCAAAACTTCAACCATTGTTTTTATTTCATGAGTAGTGTGTACTTAACATGGGGGGCTATCGTATTCGAGAAACCAAGTAGTTTTATAATCCCAATAAGTATGTGCTTTAGGCATTTAGACAACAGAATATACATGAAATGCACAGGACAACCAGTTTTCTCTCTGTAGGTGTTTTACATAATATTACATGAGTAATTCAAAAGAAAGAAAAAAAATGCATAGAGAGCAGTTAGAGACTTAGTAATCTATTGAACCTGTATATGAGTGCCCGATATCCCCGAGCTGTGAGGTTTTTGTGATACGGAATCATGCTTCCAGAATCATGACTTAGACCTATTTTGGCTGTGCATAGCTCCCAGGGACCTATCACCGTTGTCTGTTGGATCATAGGATTGAACTATAAATCACCAACTTTATTTTTTTGTTTTGGTTTTTGCAGTAAAGGTAAATCATCATCTTTAAAGCTAGTACAAGACGAGAAAATTGTATCTTACTTGTTCAGCATGAATTGCTTTACGAACATCTTCATTGTTTAGCCACGCAGTAGCAACACGATCATCCTGCATATTTCATTTCAGATTATGTGTCTGTTGAAGATTAAACCGCCATGATGCTAAAAGAGTCAGAGGTAAGGAAATCCACTCCATTAAAGAGGTCATGAAAGGATAAGTGAGGGTTCCAAAATAAGAAAGTCCTTGAGAAGCTTCAAAAGCAAGAAATGAATTCCTCAAAGAGGGAACAAAACAAGTTTGAAAGAAGTTAAAATTTACAACAGTTGGACAATAGAATAAGTGCATAAGAATGCTTAAAAGATAAAAAGGATGCATAGCTAGAGTAATTGACATGTTTTGTTATAAAATTAGTTAAGTTGGGAATTCAATGGAGAGCCATTATTAGAGAACAAACAAAAGGAAACACAAAATCAAGAGTGACTTACAGTACAAGGGACATCTAAACCATTGAGAATTTCCGGCCAAGTTGGGACATGTCCCGCTCTTACTGGAGCTTTAAAAGGCCATGCACGGCCAAACATTCTTTTTCTGACAGGAAGAGGCCTTTCTGTCTCACCTAGTTTACGAAAGCTCATGGGCAATTTTGAGTTACCAGTGGTAATTACACTAGGTTCTTTGCTGTGGTAGCACGGTTCTAGAATGTCATAGATGTTTAGATCATTAACTACCTGCAATAGGCGAAAAGGTAAATTTGGGTCAATAAAGCAGTGCAACGAATTGCTGTCTCGACGAAATGTGTCAAGTATGACAGAATAACACCTTACCTGATCAATTCTATTAAGCTTGTCTGAACAATTACTACCCGCTGGTTCGTAGAAATTTCCATGGCATGCAACAGTAGCTTCCTGAGCATGAAAAAGAATAATCAGAGACCAGTTGCTAATAGACAACGAGGCAATGATTATGTTTTTGCTGATATATTGGAGTGGTAGATGTATACACATAGCTTGACATTTGTTTTGTAACATCTTTTTTGGCGGATTAAAACTGATCACTATCTTCTGGCAATTTCATCTATGTTTGACAAACCTTCTCATATATACCAGAAGCTAGTAAGGCTCCAATGTGTTATGCTACAATAATTTGGAACATGTCCTAATTAAAAGCATTTGAGGCTTCAAACATCATCTTTTGCCAGCTATGACTTCCAGAAATCTAAAACAGTTCAGAAGTCAATGATTCAAGCACTAAAAAATCAAAGAAGAAGAAGTAATTACCTCGTATAAGTCATCTGAAATGAGGCCCATACCATGTTGAAATGGAACAAGAGCATTAGCGTCTATTATCTCATCTGTCACACCATTTCCCACCATGTAACCCTGTGTGCAATAGAACGTTAAGAGTTTACAGCCCAGACAACTAGTTAACACGTGAAAATCTTGAAATAATATATACCTTAAAGTTGATAGCGGGCGTTACTCCAGCATCAATACCTAAAAGACATAAGCAGAAGAAAGTTAGTTTGTTTAGCCCACCACATCAACCAATACATGTTCATTTAAGATCCACATTACCTTTTACTACTTCGTAAGACAAAGTTGGCACATATATTCCTGCATAAGACTCTCCAGATATGTAAAATGGGTTCGTGAGGAACTCCGGGTAGATCTCAAACCACTAGAAAGAGCATCAATTAGTAGAACAACAAATGAGTTAGGACATAGTTAGCATAAAAACTAGTAAATTTAACTATCAACCCAAGTTTATGTAATATTACCTTGAGAAGAAACGAATGGGTATCAAATGCAGTCTTTAAGTCTCCTGTCACGTAGTCAGATTTATTTTTCGAGTAAGATAATCCAACACCAACGGGAGAATCCAGATATATTACACTGGAAACCTGGAAGAATCAAATCATAATGAGTGGCTAATGAAATGTAAGCATATGATAAAAGTAGAATTAACACAAATAATAACCTTGGACCAACTGTATGGATTGTTATGCAGAGAAGGCAGGCTAGTACTTGGCTTTCCCAACTCAAAATTAAAGGGCCCTGCAATGTAAAGAAATACCCTTTCTTACTATAAAAAAACAACAAAAAGATATGTAAAAGAAATCCTTTGTTTATGATGAATAAGAATAGCAACTGCATCTCTATGGACTACATTTCCAACTAACATCTTTTACTTGAGCTGGTTAAAAGAATTTTCAAATCTGTCAAGGAAGAAATCAACATTTTTATGTCAATTGCAGAGACTGTCAAAAACACAGTTTTGGTTGACCTATTATCTATGTAAAATATTAAAAAGTTTTCAACTTTTATACATTGAATGTGTCAAAAAAAGCATTTTCACACTAGCAGATCACTTAAAAGATAACTACAAGTATGAGTTAATAACTATCAAATGACAATAAAAAAGGGCAATTCGGTGCACGAAACATCCCACTTTAGCGGGGTTTGTACTCTAATGCAAGCATTAGTGGTTGCTTCCATAAAAAGCGAGACTACTAACATAAAGAATAAGAGAGGTTATCAACTACAACATGTGAAAATACACTGATAATGTAAAGACTCTTTACCCTAAAGATAAACCAAACGTGCTATTAGTCCCTTGTACAACTATAAAAACAAAAGGAGATCTACATCTACTATAAAAAAAAGTACAACCTAGTACATATAATGTAATTTTCCGACAGAAGGGTTGTTACCATGCT